TAATAACTTTCTTTCTTTTTTATTTATTTATTTAATAAAAACTTATCCCAAAATGTCATGCACTAGCCATAACTTTTGTCTTTTAAACTGAGCAGCTGTTTAGTTATCCAGCAAACACTTGCCTTTTCTACTCATGTAAAACAATGGAGTTTTGTTGGCTTCAAAATAGCAAATCATTTATTCATAAAGGGCTTTATAGACCGAGTTAAACTGACCTGATGCCTTCTTTGAGCCTCACAAAGCAAAGTTGGGCTTTCTCGCTTTGAAATTTCCACGTCAGGCCTGACACCTAGTGGATACAGAAACCGCCTGGAGGATCAAAAGTTCACAAAAACCTAAAGAAAACTCGGCAGTGTAATTTTATTCATCCCTCTCAACTCTTATACCCCCCAAATTTAAGCCAGTGCAACTAAAATGTATTCAAAAGTCCATAGAATTCACCTCTATGTAATTCATAGAAAATACAAGGGAATAAACAGCATCATGAAGACCAGTGATTACAACAGACAGGTCAATAATCAATCTATCAAGTTGATTTGTATTGTACATTTCAGCAACAAAGTAGTTCAAAGAGCTTTACTTCATGAAAACACCAAAAGTCACCCAAACATCATACAGTCACCGATTTTAAAAACCAGTCACAAACGTCACATTTTGTCCAGTGCCATCATCAAAATCATCAACGCACATCAAATTTGTTGGTCAATTATGATTATGATTCAAAAGCAACTCTAAACAGATGGGGGGTTTCCTACCCGGTGTTTCGGCTGCTTTGGAGTTTTCTGGCTACGATTCTGTTCTGATATAATATCCCAAACTGGAGACGTCTCACAGAGATCTGGTCAGCTCAAATTGCAAATGCTGCAAACGTTCCAAGACGCGGTCAACCACCTAAACCGACCTTTACCGCAGCCGAGGAGAGCGTTAATGAGCCGAGTAACCCATGGTGACTGAGGAGGAGCTGCAGAGGTAAACAGGCCAGGTGGGAAAACTGCTGCTGCTGGTCACTAATCGGAAGAAAGTCCGACGAAGTCCTCTCTGTCATTTGCCACAATCTAAGTGCCTGGTGCAAAATACATGTGGAAGAAGGCAATCCTGGATTAAAAGTTGTTACGAGGCCACAAGATGTGAGAGTTGAGGTTCACCTCTGAAACTGTAGATCAAAAAATAATGATATGTTGGAATGGCTCACTCAAAGTCCAGACCAAAAGTATAACTGAGAAAATGTGTCACAGTTTTGAAAACCAGTACTTGAAGATCTTCTCTGTCCAGTCGAAGTGAGCTCGGGCTATTTTTTTGAAGCGCACATTATCTGCAGCCATGCAGTGCTTTATTGGTATTTCCTCATAAAAAACACCAATAAAATACTCTGGAATTTGTGTTTGTGATGTGATAAAATCTATAAATACTCTAAACTCCTTTCTGTTGTTATTAAAAAATGCCCCTTTTAATCCAGCAGCAACAAAAGAAAAAAAAAAAAAAAAGACGATCAGCGTTTCTTTTTCTTTTTTTTGGTTTTGTTTTTATATTATGGCGCTGTGGACAAGTTTGTGCCAACAAATTAACAGCAGCATAGCACTCTTTCAGCGAGGGAAGGAGGCATTTTATTGGTCGCATGTTTAATTAGTAAATGGGATATTTAGACAGTTATGCAGACAATAACCGACCGGCTGACGTGTGAGCGAACAAAAAACGCTCCATCACCATGACTGTCTGCGGAAAGTGGAGGCAAAGAAATAGTTGTAACGTTCGTAGTAATTCCTCCAAATTTAATCACATTGCATCTGAGTTTTTATATATGCATATATATATACTTTTTTTATGCAGATGATGGCTCGCAACACTTCCTCTTTTTCTAGGAGTTTTCACTGAAATAAAGAACTTATAAGAGGATTCACACCATCCAAGTTTACGCTGCTTAACTGTGGCAACAGGTGAGTGAACTCCTGGTAGAGTGGCTTTCTGAAGTGTGTTATATCAATAGATAAATCTGTTTGGGCTAAACTCTCTCATTTTTTTTTTTTTTTTGAAAGCTTGAGTGTGACCACATGGTAGCAATCTGTGCCGTCAAAATAAACTGACCTGAAATAGCAAGGATTACAGACGTCTGTGGTCCATAAATCCAAATTGCCTGGGCTTTAAGGTTTGTGGAGCTTTTGACACAGTATAGCTGAAATCATAACCTGTCTCCCTGGGCAATGACTCACTCCATGAGGAAAAAAAATAAAAGAAGCAGAAAGTCTGTGGTAGAAAATCACAGGAATTTATCCAGCTTTGTCCGACTCTTCTCTTGGAGTGAAGCTTGTTTTGGGCTGTAAGTCTCAGCAAGCTCAGTCAAGCACAGAATTGCCCCCCCCCCCACAACCCCACCAGCACGAGGCCATCTAAAGAGAAATGACAGAGTGACAGGCCGGTGCACATGCAGCCCAAACTTCACAACAGAACAACAAGGAGGAGACTTTTTTGCGGGAGAAAACGTGGAATCGAAGCGATAGCTGGTGCTGCGAGGCGTGAGGAGGCGCCAGCAGCCATTATCGTTTCAACAAAGAGGATTTTAATACCTTCTCTTTTTTTAACTCCTCTACAGAGCTGGGGAGACTGATGAAAATGTTCTTCAGCAGTTTGCCATTGATTTAATAAAAAAGGGCCTTAACTGAGCAAACACTGATGAAAGGGAATCATTATCTGGACTTGTATGAGGACCAGAGCGCCTCAGATTCTTCCATATTTATTGCCAGTGGTTTGTCTTATCTGCAGCCCCACTGAGACGTTTTTAGAAATCACTGCACACAATTTACAGGGGAGACTGATATAAATTCAACTAAGTGTGGACTATTTACAGTGACTTTCAAACTATTTCCTAGCACTTGTTGAGGAGATTGACCAACACAAAGCAGTGCGCCATGCGATTAAAGGGGGAAAATGTATTTTGAAATTACTTACAAATAATCTGAAAATATACTTGTGCATTTTCACAAAAAAAGAAAAAAAAAAGGTATTTACTTTGTGGGCTGCATAGAAAAGCACGCCACACTTTTTAAATATTCACAAAAATACACTAAAAATCATTCAGCTGTATAATTTTGAAAAACTTTATGTTATCAAAATTTCATTTAAAGCTTGTAGTTGTAAGAAAATGGAAAAAAAAAAAAAAAACTGGTGAAAACAGTAAATTTTTGGCAAAGCCCTGAAAGGGGAACAGTTACATAAAGTTAAGCACAGACTGTAGTCTCAGTTACTTTCAAAAAGACATTTCACTTTAATAAGGTGAAATATTTCCCCTCCCATTCACCACCTGCACACACACACACACCCACGCATACACAAATGCAGACGCACACACACACACACACACACACATGCATACACAGATGCAGATGCACACACACACACACACATATGCACACACCCACACACGCACACCCACCCACACACACACGCACCCACACCACCCCCCCCACCCCCCCACACACACACACACCCACACACACGGACACACACACACAACTCAGTGAGACTCAACCCCCTTGTGTATTCCTTCTATTAAATCAGGAGCAGATAATCATTTGGTGATATGAGGGAGGCAACAATGGTAGTGGGCGGCAACATTATTTTGGATCTTTTCTCTTCTTTTTTTGCTTCTGTATGGAAAAAAAAAGCTTTGCAGCGGCGTCGACTTTTAATATAGCTTGTTGCCTGCAGGCAGACATTAATGAGTCCTTTTTTTGTCAAGGTGAAGGAACAGAGACAGCAGGCAACATGCCCGAGTTTAAAAGGATGCAATCACAGAAGTGAATGGGTGTAATGTGTGGGTGATGAGTTGAGACCGCTTTGCGTTCAAAGCAAAGACGCTGAGATCTCTCTCTGCCTCTCTCTCTTTCTTTATCTCTCTCTCTCTCTCTCTCTCTCTCTCTATCAATCTCTCTCTCTCTCTCTCTCTCTCTATCAATCTCTCTCTCTCTCTCTCTCTCTCTCTCTGTCTCTCTGTCTCTTTACACAACACAGATCTGTGAAGCTCCCTTATTTGTTGGGAGTCTCAAAGTGAAAGCTAATCAGCTGCGTCCTCAATAAACCCATTGTTTTATTGCTGACGAGAAAAGCGAATCAAACTTTCGAAGCAGTTTGTGTTTGAGAGCGCAGCCACTAGATGGTGCTGTTTAGCTGCTACTGTTTTGGAGAAAGTTTTCCCGGCTGGAATGCCAGGATCATCATCATCATCATCATCATCATCATACATTAGCCGGCTGATGTTTGACCTTAACTTTAGGGTGCTCACGCTTGCGTCAGACAAATCACGCAAAACCGCATCATTTTGAGGCTTAGCTGCAGATTCACATGCTGAATAAAAACCTGTGCCCACGTGTAGCTCAAGCAGCTCATTGTGTCCGATTTGCCATGCTCGGCACAAAAGCTCTGGTACAAGGAAAACACGGCCTATCTGGAAGACGCGACGACTGAGAGTGCTTTCTTTCATTATTTGTTTTTGTCGCTTTTCTTTTCTGCGCCCACATTTTTCAGGAACACGCTTTGATTCTTCTCCCGCTGCAAAAAAGGACGAGCAGACAATCCCATTGCCACCTTGTGTGGACAAAAGCTGAGCAGAACCGGGCCCCTTTCTACCTCAGGGGGGGAACACAAAATAAATGGGGATGGAAATTAGCTTTAAAAAAAGGGCAGCCGAAGGAAAAAGCCAGCATCTTTTTGTTAAACAAGAGTTCTCATGAACGCCATCTGTAAAACGTGAAGCCAGACCTTTCATTTTTGTCCTCAGCTTGACTCCCAAACATCCCAAATCCCAATGAACCTGTCTCGACTTGTTTGCAAATCAGAGCAAGAATACTTTTGTCCCTTCTTCTTGAATGCCAGGCTCCTAATTTCTCTGTTTATGTTGCTTCCACAGTAATATACCCCTGTGAGCTGCGGCAGCCAGTGTGGCAGGGCGAGCAGACAGCAAAAGATGAGTGTTATCAAGTATCAGCGCTGCATTACAGAGAGCCAGACAACGAGGCGGACGGAAAGGCAAGCTGTATAGGTGAAAGGGGAGGTCATGTGCGCTTGACACAGAAACGGAGGAGGAAGTTTAGAAAGAAAGATGTTTGGGTGATAGAGTCGGCCGGATTCTCAGAAAGTTCTCTTCCGTGTCACATGTGAGTCGGTGGTGCTGTTTTCCAAAGAGAGGGGCTCTATTTTTAGGGGAAGGAATGTACACAGGCCTCGTGGAAAGAGACCATAACAACAAACAGTGTGCAACACTCTGCCTGCAAAGAGCGAGAGAGAGAGAGAAGCAGATGCCATCGAACAGCATCACTAAAACGACGAGGAAAAGAAAGTACAGCAGACTGCCAAGATGTCTTTAATTTTTTAAAATCTGAGCTTGTTTTAAAGAGGACATCTCTGCAGAAAACCCAAGACAACAAAAACACGAGGAGACAGGTAAGAGATGTTTGGGAGGATGAATTTGTGATCAGGAATGTGGCATTTCATGTGTTGTATAGAGTCACAGAATTTTTTTTTCCAGACAAAGTGTAGTACTGATGAATTGCATTTTTATTATTATTTTTAATTCTTTTTTTTTTATCATAAAACAACATAAATAATACATAAAATAAAAAAGGCGAAGACATTTTGAAACACACCAGTGACAGTGTTCAACCCAGAAATCCAGACGAGTAAGTCAGTCTGATCAGATATGCACAGTTACTTTAAAAAATAAATAAATACAATAAAATGAAAATATATGTGAAAGTAGAAGTGCTGAAAGTGCCTGTAAAAACAAACCACATGACTGAAAGTGTTTACACAAGCTCAGCTGTGTTCAAGCTGTGGTTAAAGCGCCACTGGTGAGACTTGGGTTATTTGGTCGCTGAAATTTAAATGCTACATTATTTTAGCAGAGCTAAAACGCACCAACGGCCAAGATACTGATTTGTATATGCAAATTGACGTTTCCCTCAGCAGAAACTAGTCGAGACAGAAGTGCAGTGGAGAACAGGAACTCCGTGTAAACTAAAGCAGACCAGTGACAAGTGCTGTTCATGTTCAATGTGCTTTTGAAGACTAAATATTGGAAATGAGAATGACATTTAGGTCAAGTTCCAAATAAAAGTCAGAAAAACATTCGAATTTTCTAATTAATTTGTTAAGCAGTCGTGCTGGTTCATGTTAGCAAAAGAAGCTAATAACCAAGAATTTTTCTTCTTTATGAACTTTTTAAATTGCTTTGGCAACATGTTTAACACAAGTGAATGTGAAAATCGAGAACTCTTCTGAAGAGCAAATAAACCACTTTGGAAAGCAGCCATCTTGGATTTTTAAGGTTGATAAGAAACCTCTGACTTCCCACTTATAGCATTTTGTTAATTACTACAATTTGAAACTTGAAAAGGAGTGAACTAGTTAAACTGAATTCCTCACATGACAACATTTAGCTGTTTTTGGTTTACAGCTGCTTTAAAAGGTCTGTCAGAAACTGCTTGAGAAACTTGATAATTCCTGCCGTGGATCGTGTCACAAAAAATTTGAAAACCACTGTATTTGACATTTGTGATGCTATGGAAGATACAAGGAATCCAACAAATCCAGGTAACTGTCCAGAATGCTGGCTAGTTCAGGAAACAGGCAGTGAAAAATGAAGGGATGCTGGCACGTTTCTAAGAACGAAGTTCTATGTAGTTTGTTAAAGTTATTGTAATTGTTCTCTGAAATTACATGGAATATTTAATGTCATCTGTAGCAATAGAAAAAACAAAATCTTCACCATCAAACTTATTAATTTAAGCTCTGAAATGCTGAGCGATACCTCAGTACAGGCGCCTGAAACCATAAGGGCGGAACAACACATACAAACACAAAACCAAATGAATTGGCATGATCTGTTCTCAGCATGGATCCACCTGCTGCTGAGGTCCTTCACTACAGAGATGAGGAACAGTCCTCCAACCTGCTTCTGCAGCTGCACAAACTGAGGGCGGAGAAAATCCTGATAGATGTCATCCTTTGTGCCGGTCACACTGAAATCCCCTGCCACCGTAACGTCCTGGCGTCCAGCAGCGCCTACTTCCGAGCCATGTTCTGCAACGACTTCATGGAGAGGCGACAGACCAAGGTTGATATGAAAGGAGTTGGACCTGTCATTCTGACCAGTATTGTGGACTACGTTTACACTGGACTCATTAGCATCAGCCTGGATAATGTGCTTCATCTGATGGAGGCGGCGTCCTTGCTGCAATTCGGCCGCCTTTTTGAGGCCTGCTCCTGCTTCCTTCAGTCACAGATGAGGCCAGACAACTGCTTGAGCATGTTCAGACTCTCAGACATGATGAACTGCGACAGTCTGAGAAAAAAAGCAAAAGAGATGGCCATGGAGAGCTTTACTGACGTGTCCTCGTCTGAGGACCTGTGTGAGCTTTCTTTACAGGAACTACTGGGGTACCTGGAGGATGACAGCCTTTGCGCTCAGGAGGAGCAGGTTTTTGAGACACTTGTTGATTGGATCCGCCATGATCCCGTCTCCAGGCGGGGGACCATAAGCAACCTTTTCAAAAAGGTCCGTCTTCGACATTTGCACCCTACCTACCTCTTCCAGTTCATTGCAAACGACCCTCTGATCCAGTCCTCCACCCTCTGCACCGACATCATTGAATCTGTAAGGCGTCTCATGTTCTCGATTGGCACAAGAAGCATCGGGGACTTTGTGGTCGACTTTAAACCTCTCTGGGCTGCACCAAGGCGCTGCAGCTGTGATGACACCTTGGTGGTGGTTGGAGGAAGAAGGAACAACGAGCTGACTTCCAGGGAGACGCTGGTTTTCGATGAGAAGAAGCAGAAGTGGCAGCGGCTCACCAAGCTGCCCATACGTCTTTACAAAGCCTCCTACGTAGCCCTTCACAGCATACTGTACGTTCTGGGAGGCTTGACCACAAACACAAGTAGCGGCCAAGTCAGCCGGACGGTGTACACCCTTTCCCTCAAGACCAACCAGTGGAGGACAGCAGAGCCCATGCTGGAGCCTCGCTTTGCCCACCAGAGCGTTTTCTACCTGCACTTCATCTTCGTCCTGGGTGGCCTCGGGTCTGATAGACAACTGACAGCCAGTGTTGAAAGGTGAGATCTTAGTCAAAGCCTTCTGGTGGTAATAAAAGTGAGGTGCAACAGTAAAAACAATCACGAACAATCTCCCAACATTCTTTTAAGGTTCAACAGTATGTTCAACCAATGGGAAGCTGTGGCACCAATGCCAGAGATGGTGCTGTATCCTGCAGTCGCCGCTACCAACCAGAGAATCTACATGTTTGGAGGACAGGATGTCACACACAACCCCGCCAGACTGATACAGGTGAACATAAGGGACAAACTTCTCCTTGTTACTTTAATTTCTCATTTTTCCCCCATTTTTTATTCATCTATTGTCTCTCCCCTACCTCCAACCATAGGTGTATCACATTGGCAGGAACATGTGGTGTACGATGGAGAACAGATCAGTGAAGAACGTGTCTGCTCCTGCGGTTGTTCTGGACGAAAACATCTACATCATTGGTGGTAGGTAAATGGAGCAGAAGATTGAACTGTACTTTGGAAAACATGATTCACAAAAATAGTAAGGCTTCTGTGGTTAGATTGACAGCGACTATAGTAAATGTTTGAAAAACGTCAAACATTGTTAAAGTCGACAGCAACCTTTGGTCTGGGAGCGTTAGCAGGGAGCGGTCAGCAGGGAACCTTCTGGGTCAATAAGAAGAGGTTTTAAGAGGCCAGGCCATTTAAAGCTTTGAAGGTGAGAGGGAAGATTTAGAAATCAATTGAGAATCTATCAAGCAACCAGTGAAGGGAGGAGAGCAAGTACAGCTTTCATGTCCTTTAGACCTATAATGAGTTTAGCTGCAGCAGGTTGAGGCATTTTGCAGAGAGGAGCAGCAGCTCTGACTAATACCTGAGTAAAATGCATTTCAGACTTTAAGGTGAAGGAAATGACCCGACATTTGAGACTGCCAAGGTGGAACCAACCAGGCCGAGTGACGGCTTTAAATTAAGAATCAAAGTTAACCTTAGGGTAAAATATGACTGTTTGATTCAAAGCCAGCCACCCAGCCACCCACCAACCAATGCCTGGTTAAAATGAATAAAGCCAAAACTGTATAAAGTGAAGTAAATCAGTAAGTGAGTCCTCGATGCCTTTTCACAGTGATACGGATGCACCAGCACCAAATAATGGACATTGCATTTTGCAGAGTTCAATAACGAAAAAAAGTGCAATTAAATCCAAAATTACTCAGAACCTTAACAGATTTAGATTTAAATTTTTAATTTTACCAATAAAAAAATCTCTAAAGAACCTTTTCACAAGGTTTTCTGGGATTTCGCAAATGGAAATAATTCTAGTAATTCAAACTGTCCTAAATCAAGAAACATGTGGTCGGGTTTAACTTCTGACTATGAGAAAACAAAAAAAACCTGTATGTCTCCTTTTATGTAAATATTTGGTTTCACCTGTAATTTAGATGTTTATAGTTGTTTCTGAAATATGTGGCCCATTTAAAAGCGACCTCTTGGGGTTCAGCATGTGAAGGAAAACACATCACTCACACGCTTGGTTTCAAAGGCCTCTGTGGATTGCGACACTGTCCCCGAGCGCCACATGCTGCACCTCTCTCTCATATTAATGCCTCTGCTGTCACAGGATACACCAGGCGAGTGATGGCCTACGACATCGAGGCCAACAGGTTCGCCAAGTGTGCCAACCTGAAGGAGCGGAGGATGCACCACGCTGCCACCGGCCTCAACAACAAGCTCTACGTCACAGGCGGACGCTACGTCAGCGGCCACGACGTCGTAGAGGACACGGACACTTTCGAGTGCTTTGACCCAAAGACGGGGTCTTGGACATGTAAAGGGAGGTTGCCCTTCAAACTGTTTGACCACGGCTGCTTGACTCTGACATGCGTCACGCGGAATTGGAAGAAATCATAATGAATGCAAAAGACTTTTTCCATTTATTTGAGTAGTGAGATGTGTTTATTTAATTGATTTAAAGTTATTGATATAAATGATCAGGGCAACACTTTTTTTATTTTGGAAAAAAGAAAAAAGTCTGGTATCTCTTTGCGAGAGGTTTCTTTTCAACACCTACACCGTTAAAAGAGAAGCGCTCCGCTGCACAGCCTGTTCTTAACCTGTCTAACTTCACAAAGGATGAAAGTGCTATTTTCAGCCGGCTCTGAATCATGAGATTTCACTTGTCGTGTTTGAATCCCGGAGGCTCTTTGGTTTCAGCTCTCAGGTCTCTCTGACTGCAGCGCATGTGTCTGGCACAGATGATCCCAGCCTTTAATGAAAGCGCAAAATCAAATGGCTGCGATAAGATTTCTTGAGGTTTCTTTTGTGAAACGCTACAAAAAACAAACATTCGAGCCAGTCTTCGTTCAATAGAGGCTTTCAATCTGGACCCTTTAATTTAGCATCTTCTCTTGCCTATTTGAAAGTTGTTTTTCACTGTTTTTATGGAAATTTTCTGGGGGTTTTTAAGCTCTGAAATAATAAAGTTTGATTCCAAACGTGCGACTTCTCTTCATGTCTCAGCAGTAAGTGTCCTCTGCTTCACGCTCAATGCACATACTGTCCCTCCCCACAAGTGAAAAATGTAAAAGTTTGAACAAAAATAATTTCTCTCTGATATACATTCAGCATCAGGATTAGTAAGTGCTGACTTCACAGAATTTGCGACAAATATCTAATTTAAGTTACACCTTAAAGGCACGATTAGCAACATGTGGTGTTCATCCCAATAATCAATCAATCAATCAGTTTATTCACTCAATTTATCAAATTTCATCAGGAATTAATTCACAAACATAATCTCTTACAACACTTACAGCTCAACAGATGTATTATAGTTATTTATATTTTAACTAAATCATATTTAAATTTCCATGTTGTGTTTTAGAGAAGCCCTTTCTGATCTGTATCTGGGGCTGCACTTCCTCTTCACATCCATACACTGTCATGTTGGTCATTTCTAATAAAACACACTGCCGTTTGTAGCTCTTGTGAGCAAAATGTGAGAAGGTTTGATCTGTGTGTGCACTGAAAGCTGAAAAGAGCAAACATAAACATTTTAAATTGAAGTTTCTGCCAAACCACAACTCGCGACGTGTCTCCGCGACGAGCTTTCAGGAAGGTGAGGCCAGACAGCAGTCTGTGGAAGGGCGAGCAAAAACTACAGGTGATCTGACGTTATTTTGAGTAACAAACAAGGAGGCAAACGTTGCACCACGTGAATCATGTGACTCTCATGGTGAGCTGGCAGTTGTGAGAAAGAGAGCAGAGACAGAGAGAAACCGATGAGCCGTGTTTCACAACAGTGAATCTGAGCGAGTGATGAAACTCATCCACAAGAAGCAGCAACAGGTGTATGTTTCAGCAATCGTGTGTGTGTGTGTGTGTGTGCGTTTGTTCCTGTGATTAAGGTTCTTACAGGGTCAGCCAGGACTGACCAGCTGTTGTGTCTTATCAAAACAAAAACAGCGATAGTGGAAATGCGAGCCAAAGTGACATTAGAAACAACCTCCCAGAATAAAGATCATACATTCCTGCAACAAGGTTTAAATGTTTATCACTGATTCTACATTACATACTTTAACAGGCTGAAGGTCAGGGGGTGTCAAACTCATTTTTGTTTTGGAGCACATCCAGAAAAGTTGTGGTAAAGACTTTTTGTTTTGTTAAAATATTAACAAATATCTGTCTCTGCATTTGATAAGAACTTCTTGAAATTAAATAATGTTAAACATCCTTTGATCTTAATCTAATTTGGCAGAATACAGATGAAACTACTGATTTGACTAATAAAATAATACTTAATAATACTTCTGTTTCTAGTGTCTAGAGAGCCACGTAAGAAGCATCTGGTGGGCCACATTTGGCCCACGCGCCTTGAGTTTGGCACATGTGCTGCAGGAAGATTTTAACTAAAATGTTCACAACAGCAACAAAGTCATAAAAAACCACGATGAAAATATTCCAATTATTAGCTTGTGTTAAGGATAGCTGGTGCTGAAGAGAGTAAACAATGTTACCAATTTTCAAAGGTCTTCTGACACAATGTATTCAAAATGTAAACAAAAACAACAAAAAAAGATAATTAAAACCACAAAACCTGCTTTTGTAATGGTGTAGCAACAAAATCGAAAGTATTTTATGGCAAAAGAGTCCATGTTTTAGTTCAGGACACAAGAAGAGTGGAAAATGAATGCACCATCCTCACCTGTGACACATGGTGTTGGCAGCATCAGGCTGTGGGCTGCTTCTCTTCAGAAAGAACAAGGAAGTTAGTCAGATTTGATAGGATGAAAATAGACTATAAAACCCAATCAAAGCCCAAAACTGAATCCAAATGAGAATTTGTGGTAAAACTGGAAAATTGATGTCGACACTCAATCTGATCTGATGCTGTTTAGATGTGTAAAGTTTTGCCTGAGCTGATTCTGAGGTGCAGTTTTCGCTAGAAGATACTGCTACTCGTTTATGTTATTTGAAGTCGAATTAGGTTGTTTTTATGCAGCGTAAAATCAAATTGTCCTCATCATTCTCTAACTAGAAGATAAATAATCTCATGTTGGTCCATTTAGTAAACTAAACAGGAACTATTCAGTCTCTTGAGAACATAGCTTAGTCACCCACAGACCAGATACTTGCTGGGACTTTCCATGTCATCCTTTGGTTGAGCCTGTTCCATAAATAGAATTAAACTGACCCGAGGGGCAGATGGTAGTGTATTATTTACTAAATGTTCTTCAAGTTCTCACTGTCATGCATTGTCAGCCTTAAAATTCTCTTTTTTTTTCTTTACAAATATAACACCATCTCAGTTAACCACATAGGAAACTATTTCAGCCCTCTCCATCTGAAGTGTGAATGCAATCATATGTAGGCAGTGGACTGCATGGCCACATACAGAGTGTGCAGAGCTCTTTCTTGTTTTGTTGACTCCTTATGAATATTGCAGTGTTTTTGCAGTGCATCAACTCTGACCAGCTTCTTGCTAAACAGCAGCATCCCACAGCATGATGCTGCCACTCCCATTTGTCACAGTGGGGATGGTGAACAAAATTACCTGAAAGCTATAATTTTCTGCTCTTTTCACAGCGATGCACAACTTTATGTCGGCTATCGCATTCAGTGTCAACAAAAAAACAGGAAATTTTATTAGTACAGTGACAAAATATTAACAAAAGTCACCAAAGAAGCTCTGCAGAAAAGGATGCAGTCATCAGTGAATTGTGTGAAGTAAAAAAAAAAAAAAAACACATCAGCCACATGTGCTAAACTGGTCACCCTCAAGAGACATGAGATAGCACAACACACATGCAGAAGGTGAGCTAAAAATTGCCCGTTGCTTCTCGTAAAGGTTTATCTGATGTGCGCAGTGGCTGACATGTTTTAGTGACCACAGAGTGCGCCATGAGTGAAGGAATGAAGAAACATTTACTCTTCTGCTAGCCTGTATTTCAATGCCACATTTCCACTATGCAAACATTCTTAGTTAAAAAAAAAGGAAAATTGCATCCTCCTTTGTGGCCTTTTGAGCTGAATGATTGGATCAGCGCCGTTTCTGAGGATGACTTTTGAGAAAGTAGCTGAAGATGAGGATGCATGTCCCTTGATTGAGATAGTAAAGGCAAAGTTAATGTTTGTTAATAACACAAGGTCGAATAACGGTGCAAATGAATCAATAAACACCTGGAATTATATCATTAAGTCTCACAACAGAGGTCATAATCAATCAAGCAGCCCTAGATGGGGCTTTTTTCTGGATCACTGTTGAGAAAAAACTTCAGAAAGCACAAAAATAAAGTTTTGCTACTTTCTCAGCATTTAAGCAACTTCTGTATCCAGTTCTATACGTACACACACAGTTGTGTTCACTAAATTAAAATATGCGTTCCACTGAGGCTCATTTTTCAGATTAATAGTGCTGTTTGCGAACTGACCACCTCGGAGCAGGCATTAAGCTTCTCATTAAGCTCTGGTATAAATAGCTCTGTTAACAATGTTTTTCTTATTGGTCCGATGTAATATTCTGATTCTAAATATCAGTTAGCGGAAAATCATCCAAATGAACATAGAGAAAGGCTTTCGAACGTCCATCTGCGTGAATGATCTACATAATGTGTTTCGCTTGGTGATAAAGTTCTTGAAGGAAATGGGCTGTTCAATAATATTCAGACTTATTGTTCGTGGGTGAGCTATGAACACACCAACCCTCACACACACTCTGGTATTATGCGTCCATCATGGACACGCGGGTCCAGGCACAACACCATTACATGCAGACACAGAAAGGGAACAATAAATAAATAAATAAATACACTAGAAACCTATCACTCAATAAAAACACAATCTGCATTGCAACCAAACGCTCTGGAAGAATCTAAAGCACAAGTCAATCTATTTATAAACTCAGGATTGACAAAGAGGACTGGCAGGCTTCACTGCCAGTTCACTTGATGTGTTTTCACACTAATATTCACCCTCACAGACATTTTCCCCCTGACATGAATACATTATGTGTCATAAAATGCCCCCAGGCAGGGTGTCATTGTGGAAATATGCCTCAATCAGAACTGGATTCTGAATTCAGTTCCAGCCAGCATGTGCATTTAGGCCAAAGAAGATTAATTCAGCAAAATAAGATGGGAGTTTTATATTTTGTATTAGAAATAGCGCGAAAACTGAAACGTCGGGACAAAATGCAACCCAAGAGCTAAACTCAAATTGTTTCTTCCCAGACAGTAAACATAAGTATGTATTTCAAAATATGTAAAAAAAAAACCCACACACTTCAGATGAATCTGATCGGTGTCTTGTGCTCCAATCCGTCCATGACATGGAAAACTCCTCACTCCTCCTCTCCTGTCGCAACGCTGAGGTTGATAAACAAAGCCACGTGTTGCGAGGAAGTTTCCAAAGTGGGCGGAGCTTCGCTGCTTCCGGGTTCCGAGTCGGAGGATAAAAGGCGAGCTGCGCAGCGTCAACACAAGCGCACGAGCGAAACCTTTTCAGGTTAAGAAGGAGCTCAGCAAAGCAAAGCAAAGCGGAGGCCTGCGTGTTTTTCCTGAAGGCTTTCTCTCTCTGTGGCCGAGTCGACATGCCTTTTCTCGGACAGGACTGGAGGTCACCGGGTCAGAACTGGGTGAAAACCGACGACGGGTGGAAGAAGAGGACGGCGGACGACAAAAACAACAACGTCTCTGTGGAGAGGTTGGTTGTTTGAAATGTAGCAGTCTGAGAGTTAGTTTGTTGCTTAGTGTTAGAAATATGACGGGGAGATGAGGCAGATGTTTTGGAAACGAGTCCAAAAGGCAGAGTGAGGGGCCTTCCTGTAAGTTTCCATCAGTGTGTTTTCCCAGGTCGTTCCTTTTCAGGCTGATCACAGAGCTAATAATAACCTGACAACAAGTCAGAGGATTAACAAACGTCTGCTGAGCCTGGCCACTTTCCAACATCACG